TAAAAAGGTAGAGTTGGATGTGAGAAGAGCAACTCCACTGCTACAGAAACTTGAAAGCTCAGGCTTGCAGCCCACTGTACCAATATCTTCAGTTTTCACCTTAGTGGGAAATCAACTAGGAAAATATAGAAATTTTAAGTGCTAGAGGATTCTTAGAAATCTGGTGCACAGATGAATCTATAACCATCAGATGTAACCAATAAAGAATAAGCCATATGAAAAAATTCAAATCTCCCAGGTTAATGAAAGTGATCATAACTGATTAAAAATCAACAACTAATCACAACAAAGCTTGTCAGGACAGACAATCACATCATTCATGGGGAATTCAAATAAGTTTACTTCCGACTAAAGTCATCGATGCAGATATTGTCAAAAGAGACAATCACAGTTATGCAGTTAAACCGCAACACTCTGAGTATACAACTACACTCAGTAAAGGCTTTTCAAATGAACGAAACAACTAGTTTTGCAAACTAAATCTCAGGTATAGATTTTAATTATCTCAGCATATGACATATCTAGCAAATTGAAGTTATTTCAAGAAAACCGTTTGTTTCAACTGGAACATCTTGGTCATATTTTATCGGGTCTACATTGAACTCTTACTTTCACTACATCAAGGTCACAATGAAGAGAAATCTGCGGTTAATCTATTGACCATTTCTTAAAGGACATTTATTCCTGGACTGTGCTCCAAAGAAGCAACAGGTTTGTGATCAGCTAATCTGCAGAGTGATAAAAATTATCTAATGCATAGGGATGATTGCTGAAGCTGAAGGGTGGAAACCCGTATTGAGAGAGAATTAGAATCGGATTTTCAAGTATTGCTTTTTTCACAGGCATTTTGCTCTTTTGATTGGTTGAAAGATTTCGTCATGAGCTGACATCAGTTACAGAATTATTTGGAAATCTGAGAGTACTGAACAGCTGTTTCATCTTATTTTGGGATCTCAGTAGCCTAACGGTCTACAAGTTTGCCTTGTGACCAGGAGGTCCAGTGTTCAAACCCCAGGACCACTGATAGTTTTCAAAACCTGGGATGATATAGGTGTTCACTACTCTCATCTGGTTTACTAGTGGTTCTCTAACTGATGTCAGCTCATGATGAAATCCTCCAACCAATTAGAATTGCATTTTTTACAACTGAAAGCGTCTTTCACAGATGTATGGCAGTAGAGGAATATTTTCATTCTTTGTGCAGTTGGTATAAGATGGAATTTGGAGTAATCTGATTTGCAGACAATTCTTGTTGAATGCAGTCTGTCAAACAAAACAAAGTGCAAAGTCAGGTTCAGTCATTATACAATTACTTAAAATAATTCTATCATATTTAAAAAAACTAAGCGAGGAATTTTACGGACGTTTCGCTGTGCAAGCCACACCATCTTCAGCAGAATTACTTGTATCTTGTTTTGATTGTCTGGGATTATCATAAGGAATCTTATAATTTACGCTTTTCAATTGCAGCTACTAATAAATAATTCAGTAGACAACTTAAAAACATAAAAGATTTAGGGAAAATCATCAAAAGGTGTGTTTATTGTTGCATATTCTTTTAACTTGTGTAGCATAATGCCTCTCAATAGACACGACTTGGTATATTTTGCATGTTAATTTGTAGTATTTTTAAATCTCACTGAGATTAACTAATGATTCACACAGGTTTTTTTTAAAATACTGCCTTCTTTGACTTGTAGGTCCAATATTTTTTATGATTGTCCGCCTGTTGAAATGTTTATTTACTCATCACAATTAAACGATAGATAAGAAGTTTTAAATTTTTATCCGCCTAAAGCGTGGCTTCTCCTAAATATCTAGCCATGAATATAAGTCTGTTGGACAAAAGTGGTCTTGATATGTTTTTATTTTTAACCTTCCAGTACTCTAGAGTCCATATTATAACCACTTTTATTCGTTGAAACCTATAGAAATGACTCACTAAAAGTGCCTTCACTTTGAGAGGATTCTTAGTGAGAACATTTAGGGTATGACTCTCTATGACTCTATAGCTTCAGAATTTAACGCACATATAATAAGTCCTACGTCTGAATTCGTCTTCACGTATTTAAACCTGGTCAGCTGGTTCACCCCCTCGACACCCTCACATAAAAAGTATCTTGGATAGTCCAGTATACGAGAAGTCTGTTCCAATGGTGATGTTAGGCCTAACAGCCTTCATTTTCACACTTTTTCCCTTTTAAAAGGCCAAAGGGTTCACATCTATCACTGAGTAATTTCAATACTAATCTCATCATGAAATGACATCAGTTGAAGTAGCATCGAAAACCTGGGATAACTGGACAGTTATTTCCTCCTAATTTAGCATTCCTCATCAGTGTACACCCACAATTTATGTGTTACTAGGCTGACCTGTCTACTATTTCATCATTGAGTTGAGATATGATGAGGCATAAGTTCTCACTTTCACCGTCTCATGATACAACGTACCAATGTAGAGCGTCAGTGGCACAGAGGTAGAATACTAGCCAACCTCGCGGGTGGCTAGGGGTTCGATCCTCGGGCGAAGCACCCTATACGTCGCTAGGCCAGTAATATGACTGGTAAAGAGAGAAATCTGGGCGTGAGGCTAGCAACCCCATCCCGTAAAAATAAACACCACTGCTACCAAAACTACAAGCCCTATGATGTTCCACTGGAAACGTAAAGGAATAAAAAAATTGCTTATAGGTCAAGCATCTGACTTCCAGCCATAGGCTGACGGACTCGAATCCCACTTTGCCTATCAAGGTCTGTGAACCAAGGTAGTATCACCATCCTCAAAAAAGAGATATGGCTCATCGTCAACCGTGCGGAATTGTATGTTCACATTCGATAAAATTATTTTGAATATCACGGAGTGATGCATTATTAACAACTGAATGACAAGGTTTCCAGCATAAATTATTGCAACTCATAATCATATCAGTTCAGTCACATAGATTCAGAATTTGACGTACACATTTTTCCCCATTTTCCCCTTTTCGTTTGTTTCTCCACCAATAACTGCTACCTCAACGTGGTGGTCGGGCTTGCACATCGCAATGACCCAAAATGCCACGCTGGTTAGGATTACTGTTCCTGTAGGTCCTACCATGCCAGGAAGTTTGGTAGGGTAGCGATTAGACTATAAGTAGTTACCGGCTTAGTGTAAGAACGTTTTTTTACACTATACTGGGGGTATGTCGGCGAAGTCGTACTACTGGGGAACAGGGATGTAACAGCAGTGAGGTGTTTGCCTCAGATGACCAGCATACCAGCTATTCTGTCTCTTCATTCTGGAGAGAGGGGATTAGAAAAGGTCATATCCAACATCTGTACATCCCGACTTACCCTACGGTGGTCCGTTTACCAATACGGAACCAATCCTAGAAACCAGTTCATACAGGCCATGTGTGACCGGCCTCAAGCAGTTGTCCCATGGGCTCTGCTCTCACTGAACACCAAACACCTTATTTCTGTTTCAGGTACCAGAAGAATCAACCAACTTACACGGTAGTGTGGGCAGCCGGGAAGTAACAACCGTCTACGCACTTCCAAAAGCACACGAAGCCTCCGCGAGCATCTTTCTCTATTGTTTGTTGCCAGTATAGGTGTTGCATCATTTGGAATGCACATGTGTGTTGTTGAATGATTAATAAAATAAGGATTCAGTGATTAACTTCTCCCTCTCCCTCCACCTAACTATATTCCTGCTTATACTGCTGGGCAACATTTTTTTCCAAGAGTATCGATAGGGACCCAATTCGCCATGTCATAGTAGAAGGCTTGCTGGTTTCAGCGTAGAACTTTGCACAAATGTGCAGCGGTTCAAGTCGCCACACTTCACTTGCCAGACAAAGCAGGAGAGAAAAGTAAAAATAAATACAAAATAGAGACAGTAAACAGAGATATGAGGCAAAAGGAATAGTAATATCGAAAAACAATATAGTTTCATTGGGTAGTATTATAAGTCACAAGGAGTGGATGCATCTACTCCATTCATTGAGAACGTTTTCGAGCCACATCACCAATTGCCTCCAGCATTTATTGGTGTTTACCGTTCCGAGGACCCCTACCGGTCAGGAAATCTACACCTTCCTACGCAAATGGCTGACTTAAATTAACTGTTATGGATTTCATTGACTGAAGAAGCCATGTTTTGCTCTGACCACCATTTATTAGCTCTTTTCAACCTGATCCATCCTATGTTAGCTAACATTGTTCGTCAAGGAAGGCGATGGCTATGCTAGGATGAAAAACACATGTCCTAACCATCTCAATCGGTGTAACTTCTCAGCCTCGCCTATTGACTTCCCCTCCCTCCTTACTTAGCACTCGGCCAAAGCCAAACCTAAATATTGCTCACTTTATTATACCACTTCACAGGGGAGATAGAACGCAGGCACCTGTGATCGAAGACAACTAGCTGGTCTTTTTATGTCTTTCACTCTCAATGACCATTTTCCATTCACAGCCACAATAGAGGACGGAGTGGACAGCTGAGCAGTACACGTACTCTACTGTTCAAGTTTTTGCCAGAAACAGCGTAAACTGGCCTATGCAAAACTAGACTTCCTTATACGTGCTAAGATTTCGTCAGTGATCAACCTGTTGACGCTGGCTGATGCAACTTCGCAAATAAGTGAAGTGGTCAACACGCTCCACCACTCGCTTCTTTCCTTATTTCTAAGCTAGGAGTTAGTCAATGTAGTCCAGCCCTATAGCTTTATCATCTTACATTTGGCGGAAGCGAATCGCATGCCAAACATTTGCAGATCGCAGCTCAAGGTGTTCAGAAAACTCTGATTTCTTTTTCAGCATCTTCACCTAGAAGAACTATATCAGCTGCATATTCTAGTAGGAGAGTGAACGCGATTTATCTTTAGATTGAATTATTTTGTGCGTGTGTGTGTAAACAATACTAGAATATATAAATTTTATCATTCTTTAAAGCGATAAAGTCCACAATTAATGATATCCACATTATTTTCCGTCCTTTTTTTATCTCCTTCAAAAAGTTACATCCTCCAAAATTGTACCATCTAATCAAAATGGCAATTGTCCTCAAGTCGATACAAAAGACAAAAATAATCTAATAAAAGCTGTCAAAGATTCAAAGCACATGGGAAAATACCTCTCGAATGGTGAACTGAATAAAGATTTCATTGAAGGCCGACTCAATGCTGTAAAGAAGCGAACATCATCATCAGGATTACAAGAGAACAATAATAATAATAATACCTCAGAATGTCAAGTAGAAAAACATCAACAGTCGCCTGGAAGGTATAACAGTGAATATCGTAATGAATTTAAAAAGTGCACCATGGATTATTCTACACCGAAAAAGGAGACAGGAATTTTGAGTAAATCAAAGGTAAGTAATCATGGAAAGTCAATGGACAAACTGAGATGTGGTCATTAATGTCTAAGGTAGGGTAGACTTTACCACATGGAATAATTATTATTTTAGTAGGCCTTTCAGTCTAAAGAATGATGGATATATCGATTTAACATTTTGGTAGGTTATCAGGAGTTAACCGATGTCATGTCATTTTGGTGACTCAGTAATTGAATGTTCACTGACGGAGCAGGCGACTCGGGTTTGATTCGCAGCTGGATACACTTCCAAACCTCGGTAAGGAGTTAAGGCTAGCGAACACACCCCGTAATAACACTAGTGCCTTTGGCGAGACTTCAAAACTCAAGCCCTGTGTTCCACCCAGGACTCAAAGGAATGAAAAGCCGTCATGTATCGATTTTTTGATGTTGGTTTAAACCATTACTCACCGTTCGGAGATCAATTATAATTGGTAACGTTTCTGTTTGCAGCACTGAGTGAAACTGGTTCAGATTCACTAGGTGGCTTCACCTCCTACGAGGTTGTAGATACAGCCTGCTTAGGGAAGCCAGAATAAATCGGAAAATTAGGATCAAGAGTAGTCCCCAAGGATTTATTGCAAATACTTGACACCAATTTGATATCTCTTAAGTAAGCCGTCATGAGAAGTATTTTTTCAAAAATTTTATACGGCTTCAAGATTTTAAGTATCTATCGACTAAATTAACCAAATGACAAATTGATTTATTGATCACACTGTTGCAGTCAAATGAAATCCTCCTATGGAAATGATTGGTTTTCAGCTACTCACACCAATTAGTAGTATATACTGTTCTGCTGGGCTTTTTTGCTTTATTCATTCCATTTAATGGTAACACATTGTGATCTGGTTAACTTCAGTTTCTAAAGGAAACCATCATTAATTCGTTTTACCCCGAATTCGATTCTGTACATTACCAGCTTGCCCAAATAGCAAGTTAAATTTGAGGCAGTTTGATAAGTATGAATCTTCCCTCTGAAGTTAGCCAGTGCATGTAGGTTGCCAATCAGCTGAGCCCCTTATGATTAAGGCAAATTTCCGGCGCTTAGATCTTATCTAGATAGGTAATAGGCGCTAATGACTGGTATAAGTTATCTTCTGAATGCTCATATTACTCAGTATTTAAAATCTAGACAAAATGTGGGTAAAGTGAAATTCAGAAATACATTTTTTAGTGAATTGAATTATTGGGCGAACAACGTTTGATTAATTATTTGGCTATGAATGGCATTATCAGTTGAAACAAGTGTCTGCTTCGCGGCGAATGTTTTCACCAGGAATTGAACCTAGTATCAACTCATTTAGCGCCAACTAGATATCTCCGAGTGGTATAAACAATGAACAGTTATTTCTCTCGTTTGAAGCTGACCCCATCGGTGATGTGCCTAGTTCAACACCCAGCTCATTTTGAAATATATAATTCGCAAATTGTAGATATTATTATTTCAAAACACTTTTTACACTACTCTATTAGGAGATATTACACTCTTGAAGGGTATATGTTTGAATGATTCTGATAAGGTAGACAAAATGGGATGGGTGAGAATTTATCTAAAGAGTGAATTAATGGAAAATTATAGACCCAGGTTTCATTCTTGTTCCTACTCATCAGCTGCGTATAACTCCGAAGTTGTGGGAAACAGTGCCTGTTGAGAGACTTCAGCCCCGATCATTTAGATGTAGTATTACCAAGTTACTTATGTCATAATTAGCCGGATGTGACAGTGAATGGTGGCAACAAGTCTGACAGAAATGAATAGACAGTTTAGCTTTTCGCGCATCACCATTGTTTGAAATCTGTCAGTGAAGCGTAAAAGTCCATCTAACTGACAGGACTGTTTGACTTTTGCATTTTGCGGAGTTATCAAGAATTAACATTCAATTGTTGGTTTATGGGGATTTGAATGGTGACCATTCAAACAATCAGACACTCACTGACGATTGGCCGCATACAGATAGGTAGTTACCTCGGTTCTAGTGGGAAGTCGTGACCAATGAGAAAAAATACTCGTCACTCATGACAATGACTATTGATTGCGCCATATTGTGAATTAGCAGAGCATGCAATTCATGAACAACTGCATAGGGTACCAGTTGCTGCTTAGTGGTTTATGAGCTGGCCTCGTAACCGGAAGCCCCCAGGTTCGTACTCCAGTGGATGTGTTATGCTGAAGGGCCCCAGGCTAGGGTGTAACACATGTCTAGTACTTCCAGGTTTTCCAATGGTTCTCTAACCAATGTCAGCTAATTTGCAAGAATTATTTGAGACTTAGAAACACACCAGTCTGTTAATTAACAGCAGAAAGAAAATCAAAGCTCAGGAATTATCCTTGAACCACTGTATACTACTCAGAGATTGAGAGGTGAAACTGTACCAATATCAATAAGTAGTGCTTGCTAGTCAGACTGAGTTGATCTATACGCCAAATGCGTGTTTCGCTCGTTTCGGATCGAGCTCATTAGTGGTGTCAGAGAGTACTAATGGTTGATATTGGTTGGCATACAATTGGCTTTCTTGCAAACTGCAAACTAATTTCAAAAACTGTAAATTAGCTCTAAAAATTATAACCAGTTGGTCTGTAATATCTAAAATCAAGTTGTATGCAATAAACAATGGTGTTTTATTGATCAATTTAGTGATCACATTCTACAATCAATCGATTAGCATTAAGAAATTGGTACCATTTAATCTGGGAGAGGTGAGAAGAAATTATTGTTTTATTACGGTAGGGAAATACAAATGACTTGCAAATTAATGGCTAACACTATCGACTTGGTGCATCGGCAGTACAGTGTTCGCCGACCACGTTTATGGCCCGGGTTTCGATCTCCGGCTGACTTAATCCCTTAGCTCTCCAAGCCAGTAACAAAAATGATAAAGAGGGAAGGTTGATTATGAGGCTAGCAACATCATTCCCGTAAAAATAAATACCACTGCTACCGAAGCTTCAAGCCTCTAGCTTGACTGTGAGTGAGACCTGGACACTGAGAGTAAAGGAAATGAAAAGGGTAGCTGACTTTCACCATAGATGCCTGCGTCCTATCCCCCATGTGATATAATATTATGGGGTGGGCGATATTTCGGTGAGGTATCTTTATAGTGCTAAGTCAGGAATGGGAATCAATAGACGAAGTTGTGAAGTTACGTCGAATGAGATGGTTAGGACGTGTGTTATTCAGGCTAGCGTAGTCATCGCCTTCCTCGACAACGAGCAATTTTAGCTGGCTAACATAGGACGAATCAGGTTGAAAAAGAGTCAGCTAGTGGTGGTCAAAGCAAAACATGGGTTCATCAGTCAATGAAAGAAATCCATAACAGTTAGTTTAAGCCGGAGAGTCAGCCACGTAGGGACAGTGGTGTATGCTTCCTTATTGGTTGGAGCCCTCGAGACGGTAGAAGACAATGACTGGAGATAAACGGTGATATGACTCACAGTCATTTTAAATGGCTAAAGCAGATGGATCTACTCCTTGTGACTTATAATACCCATTAAAACTGTATTGATCTTCAATATTACTATTCCTTTTGTCTCATATCTGTGTTTATTGTCTCTATTTTGCATTTCATTTCACTTTCATCTCTTGCATTGTGTATTAAATTGAAGTGTGGCGACTCGAAATGCTGCACATCTGTGCAAAGTTGTATGTTGAAATCAGTCAGTCAGTCAGTCACCACAGTGTGAACTTATTTATTCTATTATTTCAAACTGGAATTAATAATTCTTCTTTTCTGTTCTTCTTTTTTCTCCTTTGTACTTACAAGTTCTTCTCAGAGATCAATCTATCCACGCTGAACGATGATGAAGTCAATTGTACATCCCATCTACCTCGATATAAAATCACCGGTGGAAGATATACGCATAATAATAATAATAATATCGGCAATAATAAAACCTCTAGTCGTGATAATGATGATGTCTACACTAGAGACAACAATAGAATGAGAAATCCAGACAATGAAAATATGAATGATATACAATCGACATGGCATATGAATGAATGCAAAAGTTCGAATAGCCTTTATTCATCCGATGAAAAGCTGTGTACTAGTACACCAGTAAAACAAAAATTTGACATCACCATTATAAGACCTTCAGTAATGCAGGAACAGATGGAGGAACAGCGAGAGCAACAGAAGAATTATGCGAATAGATCATACTTGCCAAAAGACGCTTACTACATACACAGTCCACGGATGTGGAGTAATAATACTGACAGCAGAAACAATGATTATTATCCTGTACAAAAAGGTATGAGTAATGCACTTATAAGTCAAGATTTTTCTAAATCCTTAACCTCATTACACATGATCCCTAAACAATCTACAAACCGACGAAATTCAAAACCACTTGAACTAGTCTCTGTACTGACAACAACAAATACTACTACGGATGAGGAGTTGCGTAAAAGTCACCCTCATCCTTACGGTGGATTACACCAGTCATCGTCTACTGCTAGAAAGTATTCAGCACCGACGAGAAGCACACTGATTACAGCTGATTATCCTGTGAAAGGGAAGAAATCTGCTTTAAAAAACTCTAAAGCATCTAATAGTAATAATAATAACAATAGTACCGTTAGTAGTAATCAGAGTAAAAGTCAAACGAAACGTGGCAGATTCAGCAGCGTTTTCAGTCCTAAAACACCACCGCCTAGTCGGACGTCGAAAACCGGTAAAGCAGTGTCCAGTTCCACATCAACCAAACACATCGATCCTCAATCTGATTATAAACCAGTCCAGATTGTTTATAATTCTGAGGAGAATGAAAACTATGATAGATTTGACAACAATGTTGATGATATAATGAACAGGAGACATTACATAATGAGTAGTACAGGTCGACATTCTGACAACAGCAACAAAGATCATAATGGTCAAATCATTGCTATGGAGAGTCAATCAAGACGTGGATCATTGATCCCTGTATCGACAAGATCTTATTCCACATCAAGAATTCCAGTGAGACAACACTAAAAAATTACTGGAGTAGATTAAATACTGAAGTGCCTCCTTATTCTGTCTATCATAGAATATCTACTTGAATGCAGAGCTGGCGGATATTTACAGAAGAAAAATCAATACACCACCCAATATTAAGCTTCCTGTGGTTCAAATTATCATTATTATTATTTTTGTTATATCAAGTCTTTCATGCAATCAGCTCTCCATCCACTTTTTTCTATTGGAGATATTTAGCTTTTTTTATAAACACATACATATGATACAGTTCAAAAGCTATGGTAGTACATTTCTGTAATTTTTGTCGTTATTATCGTAAACTACTTATTTAAAATAATAAGTAGTATGTTTTGTTGACGACAATTTTATGAAGATGACAAACTATTAGCTATGATAAAATCAGCCAAATAATCTCTTACTAATTATTTTAATTATTATTATCATTACTATTATTTGGTTGCGTAATCACTCGTACTGATAATCAATATACATACATATACATATTTATGGGATTTTATTTCTATGAGTTGATCAGTTTCTTTTCTTTTGGTCATTATTTTTTTTCAAGAAGGCTGGTCATTTCATTAATTCTTCTCTTTCGTTGAAGAGTCTTTCTTATTCTTTGTACTTTCGTGTTCTTTCTTTTTGGTGTGAATGATCTCACCTCGACTATGCTCTTCCTTGCTTCCTTCAGATCTCTCATTTGAGATCAACTTAAAAACATTAAAACTTAAAAAAAACAAAACTTGTACCAAGATTATATACATATTTGCACAGAAACTTTATTTATTGCACATGTAACACTATACTATATTGACTATGTTTTCTTTTTTACATGAATATACATTAACAAGCGCGAGTAGAGTCAACTTGTTTTTTGCACCTGATTTTGTGATGATTCGTTGGTGTTGTTGCTGGTGCATAATGAGATAGGCTGAGATAGAAAGAGAGGGAGATAGCAATGAAGAGGTTTCTTGATATATATGTATAAAACTTGAACACTGAGATGGTAGAGTATAACTCCATTATGGATAAGATTTTATTCTGATAAAGTTTCACAGTGTTGTTATACAGTAGTAATATTTACTGATGACAGCGTTTCGAGTACAATTTATATACACTGCTCATAATCCCAATATCAAGGCACTACTCATATAGCTTCCTTGCTTCGTTTATATATATACAAGAGTAAAAACTGATGTAAAGACATTTAAATGAAATCAGTATAAGATGGAGTACATTCAGAAATAATAATAATAGTAGTGTTATCAATCAAATACAATCCAATGAGAAATAAGATGCTTTTTAAAGTAAAAATAAGTAACTTTTTAGAACGTTTTAATGTGAATTGATATATACTGTGCTTCGGTGGCACAGTGGTTAGGACTCTCACCGACCATGCACATGGTCCGGGGTTCGAGCCCTCGCCAACGCACACCTGATATCTATGGTCAGCCTGCGAAATTTGGGCTACCGACATCGCATGCTGAAAATTCCATACTTGTACCAAGAATACGGTGTGGAATCAAAAATAAAAAAATAAAAAAAAAATTATCCTCCTCTGATTTCACCGGTGATAATAATATCATCCATATCTTTGGTATTTGCTCTGAGCCAATTCTGCTGCGTGTGTTGGGCCTAGACTCGATGAACCAAGATTAAGTAATCAATCTCTCTCTCTCTTTCCACCTACCTATATTACTTTTTAGAATTTTAATGCATGTAGTCCAATGTAGTGCTGAGCTTTTTTCTAAATTATTTATCTTCTCAGGGTCAATCATTCTAACATTACATAAATTCTTATGTTCCGACAATCTGACTATTCCTGACCTACTAGTCTGACCTATGTAGTTGACCTCACTCACAGTCATTGCAAGTTATTTTGTAAATTATATAAATTTTTTGGTGTCATTGGGTCAACAGGTTCCTTTAACCTACACAGCTAGTTCTAACCGAGTGAGTTTGTGTGCTTAAATGTCACTCTAATTCCTGCTTTACTAAGAATTCTACTACTTGTTGTCTCAGATGTTCTCTCCTTGTATGAAAAAACTACTGTAGATGCATTATATTGTCTCTTGTTTATGTTATCATTATTAGTTTCACGATTTTTTAAATTTTGCTTTCTGACTTTTTTGATATTCCTAGTGAATTTCACAGGATACTTAGTTATTTGACACCAACGATTCTCCTTCCACCTGTTTTACTTCATCATTCAGATCTTCTGTTGTACTACTTAGGGCTATTGCTCATTTTGTTAGACATACTTAACTAAGCCGGCCTTCACAGACAGATAACGAAGGGATGAGATGAATTAATGTCTAAATATCTATTGGCCGAATGCGTTGGCATTTTATAAACGCTAGTTTTCTCTCAGTGTGTGAATGTTTACTTGGATTTCCTCACATATCATCTATTGAAATCGACGGGACATTCGATAATTTTTTCATATTAGGTTGCGATTCTTCAACGGTATGCACCTAGGGATTGAATCCAGGAGATTCAGATCTTCGGACACAATCCGAATCTTCGATTTAACGCTAAAATCATCTGGTGCCAATGATGAGCAGCTTTTCTAACTTCCCGTAAAAAATGCCAAATTTTTCATAACTTCCTATAAAAATTTCAAGAAGCTCATCCCGTAATGAGTCACTCTATTTGAGCAGTGAAATCATTCTGAATTTTGCGGTTGTGTGTGGATTTAACTGAACTCAAGGTAAATTTCATCGTGAATCTAGCGAGTAATTTTGTCAAATATCTATTTCGCAGAGATCGTGGACCTATCACTGATTTCAGAAGGCGAAGCTTAGTACGCAGAACACTATACACTGTAACCGACACAGAACAACAGAAAACGGTTGAACAAGACGATTGTTTACTTGTCCATCGATAAGAGGACAGATTTACAATGATTAATCATTGCCGGAGTCTGTGAATAGACGTTAGACAATATAAAACCAGTAAAAGATTAAACACTGACAAGCCTCTTGTCTCCCACCAATACTACAGAGACAAGTTTGAACAAAAACACAAACTATTCAATGGTCACCAGCATTGAAAGATGATGTTCCCTATGTGTCTTGAAACCAACATCTACAATCTCAAACTTGTAAGAAGAATTTTTACGAGTTGATCACGGATTGATATCAGTTAGAGAACCATTGAAAACCAGGGAGTACTGGACAGCTGCTGTTTCATCCTAGTTCGGGAATCATCGGCAGTACGCACCCACTGGGATTCGAACGCAGGACCTTCCGGTTACAAGGCAAGCTCGTTGGGGTCTCGCTAAATCACGATTTGGTAGAAGTTAGAATTCTTGAGTCATTGAATCAGGTCCCAGTGGCTGAATGCTATACGAGCTTGCCTTGTAACCGGAAGGTCCTGGGTTCGAATCCCAGTGGGTGCGTACTGCCAATGATTCCCGAACTAGTATGAAACAGTAGCTGTCCAGTACTCCCTGGTTTTCAATGGTTCTCTAATTGATATCAATCCTTGATCAACCCGTAAAACATAACTAATCCTTACAAACCAAACTATTGTAAGAAGTATCCACTATGCTACTGGGTATCAACAATGAAACACGAGTGCTGGATTCCACCGCTAGCCAGTATCAACTAAATACTCCTGCAAATTTAAGGGTCTGATTAGACAAAATAAATTAATATACACAATACTTTGCAATGACTGTGAAATTAGTCAGCAGATAGAAGTCAGTCAGGTTATCAGATCACGAGAATTCAGCTAAGTGTCGAATAATTGACCCCATGAAGATGAACAGTTCAGAAAAAAAAGAAGCTTAGCAGGTGCAATGCATTAAAACACAATCACACAATAGAGTGAAACAGAGATGAAGCTCTGAGAAGTAGTATAGTCGGCTGAAAGGGAGAGACTGATCACTGAATCTTTGTTCACAGTACCTACACCTAACATTTAGAATAAAAATGACACGACGCCAATACCAGAGATATGGGAGATACTACTACCAGTAAAATAACGAAGTTCAGAAGCTATGTTTGCACCTTGATTTGATTATGAGCGATATATTGTGCTCAAAACATTATAAGTAAATAATAGTTGATCATAGTGTGGTCTTATCACACAAATTTACTCTATGATGGAATTATACTCTACAATATTGTCTGATTTCTGTTCTTAGATCAATATTTGACACTTAGGCATTTGCATAAAATAAAAGTAGTTAAGTGGTCGATGTCGACTAGTAGTGAAATACAGGATGCGCATTTCGTCCCATTTGGGACTCATTATCTGGATGTACCTGCGTTCCCAGTGAGTGAGGATGTTCCCACCGAGGCTCGAACCCAGCGCCCATAGTTTCAAACGCCAAAGCGTTATCCACTAGACAACTTGTGCCACGGGTCATAATAATGATTCAACTGAATTTTAGATTTTCCCGTCGGTTGATTAGACCGAAGTGCTTGATCTCAGGTTGACGTTTCGGCTTCTTGTGCAGATGATTCAACGATGTTTGGGCATAAAATTAGAATTTAATTGGTGGTTGATGACTAGCATCCAGATGGTGAGTCCCAAATAGGAAGAAATGAGCATCCTGGATTCCAGTGCTAGTCACCATCCACCAATTAAATTCTGATTACATGCCCAGACATCGTCGAAGCAACTGCACAAGAAGCCGACAGACATGTCAACCTGAGACCCAGTACTTCGGTCCAATCAATTGACGGTAAAATCTAAAATTCAATTAAAAGTAGTCAAGGGTTGGAAATCACATAAATCTTAGTATTCAAAAAAAAGATGGATCTTACTGACGTGTGAAATAATCGGAAGACGAAAGGCATCTGAAATTATCGCATTTTCATTTCCTTTCTTTAAGTGGTAAAATATAAGAAATTTCTTAATATAGAGTGTAAAAGTTTGCTCTTTTCTCTTAAACGTTGCGAAGATTTCAACAATAGGTTGTAATTCTTTCATAACAGACTAATAATTCATGAGAGGAGGGGACGGAAATATATATATATATATCAATAAAGCCCGGAATAACT